ACCACATCCTCACCCCTGTTTTTATTATTGAAACAGGGTCTTAATAAATTGCTAGGGCTTTGCTAAATTGCTGAGGCTGACCTTGACTTGTGATTCTCCTGTCTCAGCCTACTGAACCTCTGGGATAACAGGCCTATGCCATCTTGCAGGCTACTTTTGTCTTTTGTTCATACTGATGAATTACTTGTTTTATAAATTTAAAAGTATTTCGATAAGTCAGTTGTAAGTTACTCATTTGGAAGACTGGAGATGTAGCTCAGTGGTAGAGTGCTTGCCTATTGTGTATATGTGAGGCCCTGGGTTTGATCCCCCAGCATTACAAAAAAGTACTCATTTTTACTTGATACTCTTAGTATGTGTGAGATAGCGTTTTAATAGCTTTAAGTTTATAGTGAAGAACACTTAACTTAGCATTTGATTTGTATTCTTGATTTATCACCTCTTAGTTTAAGTGCTCACTATTGCTTTGTTTTAAAGGTGTTGATTATTTATTTTTTTCCCTATCAGTGCCTAAGACCACGTAGCTTGTGCGGAAGAGCAGCATAAATTTTGGAGTGTTAATAGAATGTGGTTCATATCTCAGTTCTGGCACATAACTCTTTTTCAAACTAGTTATTTGAGAAGTTTTAGTTTTCTCATTTATAAAGTGAATATACCTGTCTCACGGGGCTATTGGTAAAATGAAATGTGAGGATAAAAGAAAAATGGTGGTTGCTATAACAATTTTTAATTGTAGATTCTTCAGATTATAATGTTCAGATTGCTATTACAATCTAATAGCTTTAAGTTTCTGGCATTCTGCTGGATTTTTAAACAAAAGATTAAATGAGTACTTTTGGACTCTTGAAAAATCAGACTGCTATGCTGTTGACACAGTTCTGCAGTATAGTGTTCTCATTACAAGGTATATTAGTTTGCTAGGGCAGCAAAATAGAGCGGAGGTTTAAATAACAGATTTACTTTCTTATAGTTCTATAGGTTAGAAGTTGATGATTGTGATTAGATTCTAGTGGTGATTCCCTCCTGGCTTGTAGACTGACATTTTTCTGTGTGCTTCCATGGCCCCCACCCTCATGACTTCATCTAACTCTTGAAAAGGCCTCCATCTCTAAATGCCATCTTATTGGGGTTTAAGGTGCCAACATGAATTTTAGTTGCACACAACTCAGTTTATAGTGCAAGCGAGGCTTATAAAAATCAGTAAAATGGAAATATTGAATACCAGTATTCATAGAAGACTCCATTAAGACAATCATACTTTACTTTTTTATAAAATAATAAAAACCAGGCATTTGTAGTCTGCTAGTCTGCGCATGTGTAGTCTTAGCTTGGGAGACTAAGGTGGGAGGAATGCTTGAACACACAAGTTTGAGAGCAACCTGGGCAACATTTGAGATCTCATCTCAAAGTTGAAGA